GTGTATTTTGCTTTTTATACATTGCTGGATCTGGTTTGCCACTATAGGCATACAATGAAGAATGTCTCCCAGGTAGACCATTCCTTTTATTATCCAGTATTCATAAGACATGCAAATATCAATAGCAAGTTTTGGCTAATATTTTAAAGCTTTATATTTAAGCTTTATATTTAAGCTTGATACACATTTTAAAACATGTGAGTAGATTCTCAAATTGCATTTCAAATACAATTGTTAGAACATCAGAATTGTTAGAAATTCAAATTGTCTACACACTGAAGCAGTATGAATAGTGTATCAACAGCGAATATGCATGTCTTATATGTGTCCAGCATGGAGACGCCAAGTTACTGCACACAAGCAACTGTTAATTAACAATTACATCTAAAGTTTGATAATCAGAAAATGATGTTTTAAGCATTTTATATCCTAAAGGTTCCTACCTATGTATAGGAATTTTGCTGGTTTTTAGTACATTTAAGAAACCTGGTTGAGTGTTTGGGGTTGATATGTAATACACTGTAACTTTTCCAATTTAAAATACGGGAAATAGGTTTCTGCCTAGCATGTTTACATGGAACATATCAGTTTCAGAAACAGATCATGGAAGTTAGGCAAGAGATGATGCCTTTAATGTGTTTATAATTTTTATATATGTATTCATGGACTCCAGGTTCACTTTTTCATACTTCCTTGTTGGGTTTCAGTATCAAAGTTATCCCAGCCTCATAAAATATGCTGGGCAGTTTCCTCTTTTTTCATTCACTACAAGAACTTGTAAAACGTTGAAATCGTAGATTTCAGCCAGGTGCAGCGGCTCACACCTGTAATTCTAGCACTTTGGAAGGCTGAGGTGGGAGGATCACTTGAGCTCAGGAGTTCAAGATCAGCCTGGGCAACATAGTGAGACTGCCATCGCTAAAAAAAAAAAAATTCATTTTTGCAAGGCGTGGTGGCTCACGCCTGTAATCTCAGCACTTGGGAGGTCGAGGCGGGTGAATCACCTGAAGTCAGGAGTTTAAGACCAGCCTGGCCAACGTGGTGAAACTCCATCTCTACTAAAAATACAAAAATTAGCCAGGCATGGTGACATGCGCCTATAGTCCCAGCTACTCAGGAGACAGAAGTAGGAGAATCACTTGAACCCGGGAGGCAGAGGTTGCAGTGAGCCAAGATTGTGCCATTGGACTCCAGCTTGGGCAATAAGAGTGAAACTCCATCTCAAAAATAAAATTTTTTTAAAAAAACATTAGATGGGCATGGTGGCACACCTGTAGTCCCAGCTACTTGGGAGGCTGAGGTGGGAGGAACACTTAAACCCAGCAGGTTGAGGCCACATTGAGCCATGATCATGCCACAGCATTCCAGCCTGGGCAATAGAACGAGACCCTGTCCCCCAAAAACAAAACAAGAAATGACAGATCCAAAGGAGGAGATGGAAAAAAAAAGAAAAGGATCTCCTGTAATAGTTCTGAACAAGAAGATGACAGATAGAAGGAAGGAAGGAAGGAAGGAGGAAGAAGGAAGGACAGGTAAGGAAGGAAGGAAGGATAGTTGATAGGAAGGAGGAAGGAAGGAAGGAAGAGAAGGGAAGGAAGGAAGAAGGAAGGAAGGAAAGAAAGAAAGAAAGAGGAAGCAGGGGAAGGGGAAGAAAAGAAAAGAAAAAAGAGGGGAGGGGAGGGGAGCAGAACAGAGCGGAGCAGAGAGGAGGGGAAAGAGAAAGAAGAAAAGGATTTCCTGAAAGTTCTCCTGTAAAATTCTATGGATCTGGTCCTTTCTTAGCAGAAATATTTTTAACCAGCAATACAATTTCTTTAGTGGCTATAAGACTACATGAGATTTGTATTGCTTCTAGTATTGGCATTGATTAAAAAAAAATTCTAAGATTTTACTATTTCATCTAAGTTTTCAATTTTTTCTCTCTTTTTTTTTTCTTTTTAAGAAACAGGGTCTCACACTATGTTGCCCAGGCTGGAGTACAGTGGCTATTCATAGGCACAGTCCCACTACCGATTAGCATAGGAGTTTTGACCTACTTCGTTTCTGACCTGGGCCAGTTCACCCCTCCTTAGACAACCTGGTGTTCCCTTGCTCCTCAACATCACCATGTTGACGCTGAACTTAGTGTATGCACCCAATTGGCATAGCACACTACAGCTCAGAGCTTCTGGGCTCAAGAGATCCTCCTGCCTCAGCAACCCAAGTAGCTGGGACTATAGGTGTGTGACCAGATAAGTTTTCACATTTGTCATAGAGTTCATCAACTTTTATCTTTTTACTCTCTGCTACAACTATAGCTATTAATATAGTCCCTTTAATTCTTAAAAGTATGTATGTTTTTTTCTTTATCAGTGTCACTAGCAACTTATTAACTAATGATTTAATTGTTAACTAAGTTATTTTATTAGTCTTTTATAAGAACTTTTGGCTGTATGTAGTTTCTATTACATTTTTTGTATTCTATTTCATTTACTTCTCTTACCTTTATTACTGCTTTCATTTTTTCTTCCAGATGTATTCCATTCTCTTCCCTTATTCTTAAGTTAGGTTAACTCACTGATTTTCAATCTTTTTTTTGTTTATACAGTTTCCCTGTAGATAGATTTTAGCAAATTCTACAAGTTTATACATAGTAATTATCATTCATTTCTATTTTTAAATTTATATTTTTTACTTCAAACCATAAAGTATTCATAATATGTATTTTAAAATTTCAAATATAGTTTTCAAAATTGGTTTCTTATATTAACTTTCAGCTTTACTTGCACTGGAATCAGAGAATATATTCTACATGACTTCATTTATATGAAACTTGCTGAGATTTGTGCTGTGGCCCTGTATGTAGTCAATTTTTATGAGTGTTCCAGATATGCTTTAAAAAAATTTATATTCTCTATGTGCTGGAGTAGCATTCTACATTTGTCCATGAGGCCAAATTTGTTAATCACATTAGTCCAATCATCTATATCCATACTTATTGCATCTGTTTTTATTTTTTCCTATCACTTAAAAGGAATGTATTAAAACTCCCTCATTTTGATTGTGGATTTAGCTGTTTTTTTCCTTGTAATTATATTTGTGCTTTATCTATTTGAATACTTTTATTAGGTATACACAGTTTAGACTTTTTCCCCCCGAGGGAATTGAATCTTATTAAGGATCTTCTTCATTTTTCATTTTAAGTCTATTTCACCGATATTAACACATCAGTTTTCCATTGGATAGTACTTGTCCAGTATATGTTTTCCCTTCAATTACAGGCATATCTTGATTTACTGCACTTCATTTATATTGTGCTTTGCAGATATTGCATTTTTTACAAATTGCAGGTTTGTGGCAACCCTGCATCAAGCAAGTCTATCAGCATCATTTCTCCAACAGCACGTGCTCACCTCATGTCTCTGTGTCACATTTTGGTAATTCTGAAAATATTTCAAACTTTTTCATTATTATTACATCTGCTATGATGATTTGTAATCAGTGATCTTTGATGCTACCATTGTCATTGTTTTGGGGCACCACAAAGTGCACTCATTTGTAAAATGGTGAATTTAATTAATATATGTTATGTGTGTTCTGACTATTCCACCAACAGGTCATTTCTCTCTCCATTCTCAGACCTCCCTCCTCAGAACTCCCTATTCCCTAAGATAATAATTCCCTACAAATAGCTTCTACATATTCAAGTAAAAGAAAGAGTCACACATTTCTTACTTGAAATAAAAAATCAGAAATGATTAAGCTTAGTGAGAAAGGAATGTCAAAAGCAAAGACAGGCCAAGAGCATCATGCACTAAACACCCAAATTGTGACTGCAAAGAAACAGTTATTGAAGAAAATTAAAAATGCCACTCCAGTGAACACATGAATGATAAGAAAGCAAAACAGGCTGGACATAATGGCTCAACCCTGTAATCTCACTTTGGGAGGCCGAGGTAGGAGGATCACTTGAGCTCAGAAGCTCAAGGCCAGCTGGGGCAACATAGCTCCATCTCTACAAAAAGTTAAAAAATTACCTGGGCATGGTGGCTCACATCTGTAGTCCCAGCTACTAGGGAGGCTGGGATAGGAGGATCTGCTTGAGCCCAGGAGTTGGAGGCTGCAAGTGAGCCATGATGGCACCACTGCACAGCAGCCTGGGTAACAAAGCAACACTGTTTAAAAAAAAAAAAAAAGAGAGAAAGAGAAGAGAAGAGAAGAGAAGAGAAGAGAAGAGAAGAGAAGAGAAGAGAAGAGAAGAGAAGAAGAGAAGCAAAACAGCCTGACTGCTGATACAGAGGAAGTCTGACTGGTCTGGATAGATCAAACCAGCCAGAATATTCCCTTAAGCCAAAGCCCAAATTTATAACAAGGCCCTAACTCTCAATTCTATAAATGGATTCAGAGAGGTGAGGAAGCAGCAGCAAAAGTCTGATGACAGCAGAGGTTGGTTTACCAAATTTAAGGAAAGACATCGTCTTCATAATATAAAAGTGCAAGGTGAAGGAGCAAGAGCTGATGTAGAAGTGTTAGCAAGTTATCCAGATCTAGCTAAGATCATTGATGAAAGTGGCTATCTTGAACAACAAATTTTCAAGTATACAAAACAGTCTTCTGTTGGAGAAAGATGGTATCTAGGACTTTCATAGTTAGAGAGGAGAAGTTAATTCCTGACCTCAAAGTTTCAAAGGACATGCTGACTATCTTGACAGGGACTAATGCAGCTGGGGACTTTAAGCTGAAGCCAACACTTCATTTACCATTCTGAAAATTCTGGGGCCCTTGAGAATTACGCTAAATCTACTCTGCCTGTGCTGTATAAATGTAACAACAAAGGCTGGATGACAGCACATCTGTTGACAGCATGTTTAGTGAATATTAATACTTTATGCTTACTGTTGGGACCTACTGCTCAGACAAAAATATTCCTTTCCAAATAATACCACTCATTGACAATGCACCTGGTCATCCAAGAGCTCTCATGGAGATATACAAGATCAACGTTGTTTTCATGCCTGCTAACACAACATCCATTCTGTAGCCTGTGAATTAAGGAGTCATATCAACTTTTAAGTATTATTGTTTAAGAAATATATTTTATAAGGCTACAGCTGCCATAGATAGAAGTTCCCTCAACTGATCTGAGCAAAGTAAATTGAAAACCTCCTAGAAAGAATTCACTATTCTAGATGCCATTACAAAACCTTCATGATTCATGGGAGGAAGTCAAAATACCAACATTAACAGGAATTTGGAAGAAATTGATTCCAACCCTCATGGATGGCTTTGAGGGGTTCAAGGCTTCAGAAGTAACTCTAAATGCAGTAAAAATAGCAAGAGAACTCGAACTAGAAGTGGAACTTGAAGATGTGACTGAATTGCCGCAATCTCATGATCAAACACGAATGGATGAGGTGCTGACTGACTCCAGTTCTGAAAGAAGTTCTACTATGGGTAAAATGCTATCAAACAGCATTGTATGCTACAGAGAAATCTTTTGTGAAAGGAAGAGTCAATAGATGCAGCAAACTTCATTGCTATCTTATTCAAGAAATTGCCACAGCCACCCCAACCTTCAGAAACCACCACCCTGATCTGCAGGGTGCAGATATGCAGCTATCAGCATAAAACAAAAAACCTCTCAACCAGCAAAAAGGTTATGATTCACTGAAGGCTCAGGTGATTGTGAGCATTTTTTAAGCAATAAAGTATTTTCTAATTAAGGTATTACATTGCTTTTTAAGACATACTTAATAGACAATGGTATAGTACAGACATAATTTTTATATGCACTAAGAAACCAAAAAAAAAATTGTCAGACTTGCTTTCTTGCAATATTCACTTTACTGCAGTGGTCTGGAACCAAATTGACAATATTTCTGAGGTATGCCCATATATGCAATCTTTCTGTGTCCTAATGTTCTAGGTATTCCCTTGTAAGTACGTTATAAACTATTAATAGACTTTTCCTCATCTTTCAAAATGTGCCCTCTAGCAGTCTAGATTAATCATTTAAAAATACTGAGATCGCAGATATATTCACATTTACTATCGTATTCTGTTTATTCTGCTTGTTATGCGTTTTCCCCTAGTTTCTTGTCATCTTTTGCATTGACTGAATTCTTTCTCATTGTTCTAGTTTTTTTCTACTGGTTTAGAAGAAACATTTTCTTTTTCTTTTCTTTTTTTGAGATGGAGTCTCACTCTGCTACCCAGGCTAGAGTGCAGTGGCACAATCTCAGCTCATTACAACCTCTGCCTCCCGGGTTCAAGTGATTCTCCTGTCTCAGCCTCCCAAGTAGCTAGGATTACAGGTGACCACCACCACGCCAGGCTAATTTTTTGTATTTTCAGTAGAGATAGGGTTTCACCATGTTGGTCAGCTGGTCTCAAACTCCTGACCTCAAGCGATCCATCTGCCTTGGCCTCCCAAAGTGCTGGGATTAGAGGTGTGAGCCACCGCACCCAACCACTTTCTATTTTTTTGTGTGTGTGGTTACCCTTGAAATTCTGCCCTCCATATTTAACTTTGAAAAGTGAGGTTAATCAATATTGATACATTTCCCCCAAATAATACAAAAGTCTTAGAATGCTTGAACGCTGATAATCTGCCTTCCATCTTATATGCTTTGTTATCTAGCATTATTATTCTACCATTTTAACCCCACAAATTAGACAACTGATATATATGTCCCCACTGTTTGTTTACATTTATCTATGTTTACCATTTTCTCTGCTCACTATTTCCTCCTACATCTCAGACCCATCTTCTAAAATTAGTTTCCTTTTTTCCTGAATTACGTTCTTTAGTAGTTCTTTTATTGGACGATTACTGACAGAAAAATCTGTTTTTATCTCAGTATGTCTTGCTTTTACTCTAATTCTTGACAACAGTTTGAAAAGTGTGCTGTGGAACTCATTCATTTATAAGTGATCTGTCTTCTCTCTAGTTATTTTAAGATCTTCTCCTCTCCTTTAGGATTCTGTAGTTTTTGTTGTTGTTGTTGTTTTAGACAGAGTCTTGCTTCTTGCTGTTGCCCAGGCTGGAGTGCAGTGGCATGATCTCGGCTCACTGTAACCTCCACCTCCCCAGCTCAAGATGTTCTCCTACCTCAGCCTCCTGAGTAGGTGGGACTACAGGCACATGCTACCATGCTCAGCTAATCTTTGTATTTTTAGGAGAGACAGGGTTTCACCATGTTGGCCAGGCTGGTCTTAAACTCCTGACCTCAGGTGATCCGCCCACCTTGGCCTACCAAAGTGCTGGGATTACAGGTGTGAGCCACTGTGCCCAACTGGGTTCTGTAGCTTCAGCATGAGGTGTCTAGGAATGGATTATTATATTGTTGTTTGTTGTATTTTCTGGATCTGAGGATTTGCACATCTCATTTATGGAAAATTCTCAGACATTTTTCTTTTCCTACATTGTCTTTCCCTCATGCTCTTTCTAGAACTGTCTAGATTTACTGGATATGTTGGGCTAACTCATACAAAACTGCAATTTTACAGATCAAAATTCATCAAATATTAGCAACCTCACCTGGTTCAACCTAAAGACATTTTTATAAGTGTTCTCTGCCTATCAATTCCTCTTTCATATTTTCCATTTTCTTTCTGAGATCCTTGCCGTGTACTCTTTGACTCTCTCTTCTACTTCACTCTTTCTTTCTTCGGCTGCCTCAAATTGCTGTTGAGCACATCTTTTGGGTTTGTAATTTCAATGACTTTAAAATATTTGATAGTGCCTTCTTCCTTACTCATGTTTAAGTCCATCTCTTATCTCTTGAAAGATTTTATATATAACTACCTAACAGTCAATGTTCAATAGTGCAGTACCTACAGTCCTTTGTGGGTCTAAATCTCACTCTTTGGTTCTGGTGACTCAAACTTTTGGTGTTTTACTTGTGTGCTTGCTAATATTTTGAGGACAGGGAGCCTGATTTAATCTGTGGAAATCTGAGGGACCTACGTTTAGACCGTTTCATCCATGGAGAATTTGCATTTGTTTTTGTTGGGTGTCAAATTTTTTTTTTTTTTTTAGACAGTTTCACTCTGTCGCCCAGGCTGGAGTGCAGTGGCGCAACCTCAGCTCACAGTAACTTCCGCCTCTCAGGTTGAAGCGATTCTTCTGCCTCAACCTCCTGAGTAGCTGGGATTACAGGCATGCGCCACCATGCCCGGCTAAGTTTTGTATTTTTATTAAAGATGGGGTTTCACCATGTTGGCCAGGCTGGTCTCGAACTCCCGACCTCAGGTGATCCACCCGCCTCGGCCTCCCAAAGTGCTGGGATTACAGGCGTGAGCCACTGTGCCCGGCCAACTTTTTTATTTCTTAACTTAGAGGTTCCTTGATCACGCAGGAAATATAACTTAGAACCCCATACTCCTATGAAGCCAATACCACGGTAACAAATCAAGAAAGGAGGCTATGCCAACTTGTTAGGAAGACAGACAAGTTTCCTTGCTGACTCCTTTAGCCAATAGGTACACTTTTTTCCCCAGCTTAAGCTTTCACCGAGGGGATGTAGCCACCTCAAAGTCCAAAGAGCTTTATCAAAAGTCTCAGATTCAGATCCCCACAGACAAAGTCTCCTACTCCCACAAATCTCCAAAGCTTTTGTTTTAGTATTTTGATCCCAACTGCCATGTTTTGTTTTGTTGTTTTAATGACTCTGATTTAAGTTCCCTGTTCTGTTTTGTTGTGTTGTTGGCCCTTTATGTTTCCCTTAATTTTTGTGAGCTTAATGTATATTAAAGAACTTTTAAAAAACATATCCAACATTTAAGTGTTTTATAGCTGTAGGGCTTTTCAAAGTATCTATTCTGCCTTACTATCAGAAACCTACATTTTCTTCTTCTCAGTAAGTTCTAAGAGAAATGCTAGCGTCTACATTTCATCATATATATTCCTGTATTGTATATAATTATTACAGCTTCACTAATTTAGGTAAATGGTAAAGATAATCAGTCTAAATTTATTTAAAGTCAGAATTACAGAAATCATTTCAGAAAAAAATGAAGTTTGATTGACATCAACAACACCAAGGAGAGTATTTGACCTTGGCTAAGTGCGTTTACCAAGTCATTTAAATTACAAGACACTAGCGCTTAAAAATACTTTGTTCTTCTAAGTGAACTGAGGATGACCCCTGAAATTCTTGTACTTATTTGTTAGGCAAATTAATAATTTTGGATAGACTGAGCAAAGTTAAGTTTTTTTGACCAAATAATAAGGAATTCTTAAATAGTGTGGAAAGAGATGTCTTATAAAAGGTAGAAAAAGATGTCTTATAATTTACATATATTGCAAATTCATCAGACTAAAATTCAGAGCATTATATCTACATAAAACATGTATTTACCTGTCCTTAGAATAAAAGTTATAAACCCTCTAGTTCAACTAAACTAAATTACTTGACAGAGAAATGATAAAAAGGTGCTTTATTCAGGGAGTTTCATAATCAACAACTAGATTCAATTTCAGATATCCTGCAAAACATTTTGACACAAACAATTATAAATTCAATTTTTAAAAAATGCCATTTAGCACTGAAAAAGGAAAGTTTGTCACGAGTATAAGATTAGCCAATTCTTTACCTCTCCAGCACTTGCACATTCTTTGGCTCTTCTGTGAAGTGCAGCCCATGTATCCTCATACCTAAAAAAAAAGCAAAAAAATAATTTCAAATGCAAACCACACATTAAAAGGAAATACTATCTAAAGATGAATGTGGAATATCCTACGGTGCTAGAAAGGAAACACTCAAAAAATAATGGGGACATGTTGCAAGGACACATACGTCAACTTGATGGAGCTTCCACTGGCCAAATCTGTGACAATTTGAGCAACAAAATACATAATGGTAGTAATGGATTATAACTCAAAGAATAAAACAAATATCCCTGAATCCATGGTGATGTAAATAATTGAATAAATAAATTAATGAGAAAGAAGAGAAAAACTTTTCCTTATAATAGAAACACAATTAGTAATTTTTTTTGGTTTTTTTGAGACGGAGTTTTACTCTGTTACCCAGGTTGGAATGCAGTGGTGTGATCTCGGCTCACTGCAACCTCCATCTCCCGAGTTCAAGCAATTCTCCTGTCTCAGCCTCCCGAGTAGCTGGGATTACAGGTGCATGCCATCACGCCTGGCTAATTTTTGTGTTTTTAGTAGAGACAGGATTTCACCACATTGGCCAGGCTGCTCTCGAACTCCTGACCTCAAGTGATCTGCCTGCCTCGGCCTCCCAAAGTGCTGGGATTACAAGTGTGAGCCACCGCGCCCAGCCCCAATTAGTAATTTTAAAAGAAATTATGAGGAAAAAAAAAACTCTAATTGGTAAACACAATAGTAATAATTGTTTTAAAAAGAATTTTAATGGATGATAAAATTAGTGGGTAAAAGCACAAAAAGAAATAGGATATTTACACAGTCTCAAAGTATCTCCCCATAGGATAATCATTAACTAAAAGTGAGAAAACAGTGTTAACTGAGGAGAAACCTGGCAGACACATTCTTAATAAAGTGATCAAAATTAATGTCAACAGTAATGAGACACATCAACATTATGTGACTCCTGATGTGATGCACTGGGAAGGATATAATATTACTCTTCTGGTATTCTTGCTAAAACAGTACTAACTTACAGTTAATTACAAGGAAATAGAAAAATCCAAATTTATAGACATTTTGAAACATAATTGGCCAGTACTTTTTTTTTTTTTTTTTGAGACAGAGTCTCACTCTGTCACCCAGGCTGGAGTGGTGTGATCACCCAGGCTGGAGTGGTTGAGCTCACTGCAGACTCAACCTCTTGGACTCAAGTGATCCACCCACCTCAGTCTCCCAAAGTGATGAAATTACAGACATGAGCTACACTATGCCCAGCCTTGGCAAGTACCCTTCGAAAGTACTGAGGTCACGAAAGACAAAGACTAAAGAATTCTTCCATGTTAAAGAAGACAACGGAGACATTTTGACTAAATATGATGTGTGATCCTGGATTGGATCCTAGTCCAGAAAAAAGGACACTGCTGGGATAATTGATGGAATTTGAATAAGGCCTATGGATTAAAGTACTTACTAATGTTAATTTTCTGGTTTGATCATTGTACTGTGGTTATATGAAATGTTAACATTGGGAAAGCTGAAATTGCTTGTTCTATTTTTGTAATTTTTTTGTAAACCTGAAATTATTTCAAAATGAGAAGTTAAAAAATAAAACGTCTAAACTACGATTCATTTGATTGCTGATGTAAAACCTGAATTCCCAATCTAAAATTCCAGCTATCCAGCCAATATTTCTCCAAACAGGAATACATATTTAATGAGTTCATATTGCCTCCCCTCATAGTCAGATTCACAATTTTTCTATTGAATTTAAGTAGGAAAATCAATCTGAATAATCCAGGTGATACTAGAGTCTACATGTGACGAAAATTAAGGTGGAAGGTCACAAAAATAATACAGTCCTGCTGTCATGTTGAATAACAGAAAGCTAGATTTTCTTGGATGTATAAGATTATGTAAGTATCAATTAAAATCAACAAGTATTTACTGAATGCCAAGCACTGTTAGGCACCAGAACTGCTGAGATAAATTTTACTTTTGCATCTTTGTTGTCCTGGTACTTAGCACAGAACCTAACACAGAAGAGACACATTAAATGTCTGTTGAGTAAAGAAACAGACTAATTATAAAATGAAAATTTAGGACTTCGTGGTAAAATTTTCTATCATTTTCTTAACTCAGTGGGAAAGAGAAAATTAATCCTTACTTGCCAAATTTAGACTCCAGATCATTCTTTTCATAATATCTCACTACTTCCTTTTCTCCCCATTATTATGTATGCTTTTCACATCCAACTAGGAACTACTTTCCTAGTTCAGCAACTAGTTCATTCATGACTTTCCTACCGTTTTCAGCATTCTCTAAACCTAGACTACTCCAACCATTCAAGTTCTCTGCTCTACTTTTATGCCATGAAGCAGTTTGAAGAAATGCATTAAATCCATTACAATGCATGCTATCCAACCTCCCATGGGCCTTCGCTGCCAATCAGCACGTAAAAAAAAAAAAAAATTTATTGCTATTAGATTGTTCCCTGAAGTACACACAGCGGGTATTACACATCTCATGCTGCCTTGAAACTTACCCCATCCAATCACTTTCAACAGACATATGAACTTACTCCATTTTACTGAGATAAAGACACTGGATGTAAACTTCAATTTTTCTGTGTTCAAACTCACATCTTTAAAAATCACAAGTCAATGATGACAAAATGAAGAAGCCACATTCATAATGTGTAATTCTCACATTCAATTCGTTATTGAATATATTCTATGCATACTATGGGAAGACTAGTGGAAGAGTTCACAGTACAGTTAGGAAGATGAACACACATGTAAATAATTACCTTACTTGGTAGACAAAGGAAAGGGCTAATTATATAGCATTAGAGCCATAGGAACATAGGAAAGTAACTATAGACTGCGTTGTACTACACTCTTTGAAACATTATGATTTAGGAAATAGAAGATGTCAGAGTAAGAAGCATCTAGAATCTGTCACCCTACCTAGACCACAATCACATTGGCAGAATCTGTCTGATGTAACTATTTTGGGACTCTAGAATCTATTAAAGGCTTGCAACTTCCAGGGGAAGGTCTGGAGGGTAAATTGAGGTTCATTTCAGTCGACTTCAGGTTTTAGCACAATGGCAGCTACTCATCCACCACCCCAACCCCTGGACAGGCAGCCACGCACTTGTTCCTGAAGTAGCTTATACGTGGCTTATGAAAGTCAAGGTGGGCCAATAAGGACCCTGTGCTCCAAACATCAGGGAGTCTGTGCTCTGATCACAATTGCTGCTTCTAATCAGGGAGATGCAGACACAGAGGCAGCTACTGTTGAAAACTCCTCCTGCTCTGGCTAGCAATTTTCAGAGGATTTAAAAGGCCAACGTCTGGTTTTGTCCCCTTTCTTTGTTCTCTTCTCCCTTTTGGAGAACCAGACACTTAAAGACTAGGACATTCAATAACAGAAGAAATTGTTTTTTGTTTTGTGGTGTGTGGTTTTTTTTTTGTCCCAAGATGGCTTACTAGGGACATCAAAAGCCAGTTTTTCTCAAAAAATAGATAAAAGTTACTGGTGAGTGGACAAATTCTAGACAGAAAACTGAGGGAAGGGAGGCAGGACCTGTCAGAGTGCCCATGGGAAGAAGCTGGGGTGCAGAAAAGGAAAGCAGCAAGAGTCTGGCAGAGATCGACCCTCAAGGACCTTGGAGCTCTGTGGAAAGGGTAGGTGGGAGTAGTTCTCTGCTCCCCTGACTCCTCCAACCATCTCCTGACCAACAAACTGTTGGAGAGTGCTCCTCTGCCCTTGTGACCCAGAGCAACACTATTGGTGACAATTTGAAAACCTCCTGGGGCTGGAGAATCTGGTGGCCAACTCACGTGTACAGGCGTGTCCACACTCCCCTCAGGTGCCAGATACCATACTCATCGCACACTGGCGGTGGGATGCTGCCCTGCCCAGGGATTCTCTGCCCTTGAGTCACCACACCACCAGATTCCCTGCAAACACACCCAACAAACCACTCTAACTTTGGCAAGCACAGGGAACCAGCAGTTCCCCAGGTAACTGTGAGATCTCTGGAGATCTAACCCCCTGCATGGGCCATCCCTAAGTGGAAGAGAGTGCAGCCCACCAAAAGCACCCCACAGGACAAAGGAAATGCAGGCACAGTGCCAACCACTGCAAGAGGCACTATCATCACCCAGGAATGGATGTGGGGAAGGGGTCATCTCCTGCATCCCCCTACACTGTTGCTGATGTAGCAGTGTTCTCCCTGCCAGAGGCCAGTACATGCACTTGGACACACAACATTATTTCATGCTTCTCGTGGCGGCTCTACTTCTACTGAAAGTGAGCCCTGCACAGCTCAAGCTTTCAGGAAGAGTGGGGCCCAACTTCCCTTCCCTACACAGAGCAGTAACATCCCGACAAGTGAAGACAAGTTACAGAGCTGCCTGCTCCCATCTGGAGGAAGAGACTCTCCCTGAGCCCATTTTGGTGACAGCCCTCAGAGGAGTGAACCCGCAACCCGCAGACAGGAACCAAAGGAAAAACTCTTTATGAAATGAAGGTTGGGAGCCTTGTGATAGGGGCATGATAGGAAGTGGATCACGTTCTTGCCAGCACAGGATGAGGAGTGGATGTACCCACCCACCTTCTCCCCCAAGACGTCAGCACACCCCACTGGACCTCTTCCCGCCACCATCCCCTGCCCGCTCAGGGCAGGTGCTTCCACCCAACGCCAGCCTACCTGCCAGCTCTTACTCTTAAGTGCCATCTACTGGACTGCAACCCGAACTGCGCCACCAAATAAAAATCTGCTACAAAAAGGGCTTAGTGCTAGTCCACAAGATGAGCCCCCTGGGATCTCCACACCCTCAGCTCCACAGGAGATAAGGTGTTAGGTGTCAGCTCTTAGAGCCAATTCATCACTACAATAAGCATCATCTGAGAAAGCCACTGCACAGAAGCTATCCATAACCAAGGAACCCCTATAGCATTTTGGCTCTCTGGAAGCACCCGGAAACAAAGGCAAATGATAATACACAACATATACCACAGTCATACCCTTAAGG